GCGTGCGGCTGTAGGGCGCGGAGCCGCCGCGCGGCGCGTCCCGCGTGGGCTCCGGGCGCCTTAAACCTCTCCCAGGCCGCCGTTACCGTGCGGCCCACAGGTGTGACTGCGGCACCCGTTCTTTGCGCCCCTTTTGTTTTAGTCACTTACGGTTCTTCAGGCAGTTACATCCAGTGCCTCTTTGTTCAAGAAGCTTGACAAAATCCTGATTCCAGTCTTTTTTTCCCTGTTGTTGCACAGCTGCTGTTCTGCTGTTTTGGCAACGTTGAAGTCGACATCTGACGTTATTTGTTTTTAAATCTGCTCTTTGATACTACCCAGCCGTCCGATTACTACAAGCCCTGGAGCGACTGCAGCGGGGCTGCCTGACCGGTGCGGAGCAGCGCCCGTCTGCCGGCCTGCGCGCTCTGCCTACACCTCGCCCTCTGCTGCCCCTGTGTTGTAGGCTTTGAAAGCACGGCCTGCCTGTTCGCGCGCACCAGCGTGTTTTGCCGGTTTGAGGGGTTGTGGTGCTTCTTTCTTTCTTTCGGCCAGCTGTGTACGTGCTGCGCGCTTGACATTTTCTGCCCTGCTGGGCGATGGGTTATTGCCGTTCGTGGGCTGTGCTGGGTGGGGAGAGGCATGGGCTCAGCCTGCGCGGGCCAATCAGGCCGGCGGCGGCTCCGGCCCGGCCTGACGCTGCCAAAGGGTTTGACCTTCGTGTGGCCGAGCGAGAATCATCCTCCCAGCGCTGCCCGCGCCGCTCCGGCAGCGATAGACAAGGCTGTCTTGGCATCGGGGAGCTCTGCTGTGTCCTCCTGCTTGTGGAAAGTACAGCGGTCCAAAAAGGGTAGGGAAAACAGCAGCCTGGAGGCGGAAACAGGAGTTTAAGTATGCTTACTTGAAGTTCCCCAAAGAGTCAGCGTTGCTCCCATCTATACCTGCTGATTCTCAGCCAGGTAACTTAGTTGTTTCTGCAACTTGAAACGCTCTGTATTCCCTTTGCAAGGCTACAGCTTATGTCTCTAGTTTGCTCAGTGAGTTCTTTCGAGTTACAAGGGGAAGTAGGCTACCAGGAAAACTAAGTACAAGCTGCCTATATATACTCCCTGGTTTGTTATTTGCTTTTTTTGTTTTGTTTTGTTTTTTTCCTCTAGGGGAAGAATTGTATGCAAAGGCAGGAAACACAGAAAGAGAGAAGTGTTAACACTGCGACTTCAATAAATGGCAGTGCTAACCACAAAAAGCTGTGGGATGATGAGAAAGTTAGCAGACGCCGGGGAGGCAGTGTAGAGGGAGCCAAGCTGGCTGTGGAAGGGATGGAGTTTAGCTGACTTTGCACTCTTCCTCCTGTGGTTACTGTGTGGGGGCTTGGTCTTTCCTTGCCGGTTTTAAATGTTATCTGGGTAGAGCACAGAGGCACCGCCCACACACAGAAAAATCAAGCCCTGTTGACTCTAGGAACTAAATAAGACACATAATTAAAAAAAAAAAGAAAAAAACAAAAAAAGTATACTTTTACTTCTGCTTGCCTAGTGTTTCTGCTTTGCACCCTGTCCAGGGCACAGGGCAAGGAGATGCAGGGATCTGTCGTGAAGTAGAAAATACTCACTTGGATGCGAAGACGCGTCAGCCGAGCAAGAAGTGACATGTAAATCTTGGCAAATTATTTTGTTCTAGACATTGTGTAGTCAAATGTGTACCTGCTGTTTAGGCAGTTTAGCTAATGCTTCAGCAATAGACTAGCAGGTTTCTTTACCTCCAGCTGAGAGTCTCCTCTCAACTCTTTCCTTGCTTCTTGCTGCCTCCGTGACGCTTCTCACTGATTTAGGAGCGTTCTACTTATATGGAAAAGTCCTTCTGTGAATCACAAATGGATGAGTTGTGGGTTAGCCTTAAAAATCTGCGCTTTCCTCAAGTACATTCAAATTTAGACTTACCCTCCAGAGCAGAGTAGTGCCTGCACCTAAGTCATCTCTGGGGAAGTATCCTTGTGGGCCCTCCTGTTCTGAAATAGTGAAGAGAGGAATGTTCAGTTCAGTTCAGCCCTTCAAAAGGGCTGGGGTGAAGTTATCTGTGTGCTTCTTGGACGATTATTTTGACTAGGGGAAGGCCTTGTAGAAGACTGGGCCAACGTCTCCGATCATCGGAGCATTTCTTGCAGGCATGTTTTAAGTTATGTTGATTTTTATCCTGTAGATGGAAATATAAATGAGGATTCTACAGACTAAAATGACTTTGAAGTCTCTTACAAGGAAAGCAAACAAGTAAATCATTTGAACAAATAGTCTCCAAATCTTTGAAGATTGTTTTTCTTGTTGTTGAATCGGTGCTGTAGTTCTCCAGCAACATATGGGGAATCAGGCTGTGTGAGTTCAGTCTGTGCTGTGAACTGTGCTGCAGGTAGAGATACTCCAGCTGCCTCTCAAAAAGCTGGATCAGGTACTGGGAAGTGTTTTAGCTCAGGAACACTAAAAGCAAAGTGAATTGCATTGCCAGAGGTCTGTATTCCAGTCGCTGACCTAGCTGTTAGCACTGACTTCTGCATTTCTGCGCTGTACTGCAGAGTGGATTTACCTTGTGTCCAGTGCTCAAATCTCTCTGGGCTCTTAGCCCTGTCATTCTGACTGTGCTCGTGTTTGCCCGTCCGCCTGTTCTGTTTCACAGAGGTTCTGATGCTTGTACGGTGTTATGCAGTATAATGAGGTTCTTACATGAAATACATGTTGAAATTTCAAGTCTTACTACTGAAGAAGTTTGTGGAGAAGAGCAGAAAAGTTTCATCAAGAATAATCTGCCTTTGTTTTTTCTTGTTTCCTTCTTTTTTTTTTTTTGTACCGTGATTAATAGTACCTCTTGTATGTGTTTATTCTAGACTTGTTACGCTTTTCACGGATGAGTTGGGTCATGTTTCCCACTGGAGAGCCATCACAGCAGGAAGTCTGGCTGGCATGGTTGCAACCATAGTTACTTATCCTACTGATGTAATTAAGACACGACTCATTGTGCAGAACCGCCTGGAACCGTCTTACGAAGGGATTTTTCATGCTTTTTGCAAAATTAGTCATCAAGAAGGATTTCTTGCACTCTACCGTGGTGTTTCACCAGCTATATTAGGTAAAGTAATAATGAGGAAAGTCACATTTTTGAGCGTCATTGCACATTGTTTATTGCAATTATGTAATGCATTTGTTTGCTCACTTGACTTAAAAAGCAAATAGTGATGTTGATCTGTAGAAGGTATCTAGCTTTACAAAGCATGACAATACCGATTGCCCTTGCTGCAACTATTTTCCTTCAAATTATGACTGAGTGCTTAGCATTTGTGTGTGCTTAAGAGTTCAACAGAATACTCTTGTCTGTCTTTTATAGATGATCTGGTTGTACTCAGATGCAGGATTTCCTCTATTTAACTCTTAAAAAGCAGAAAAAAAAAAAAAAGCTTCTAACTTCTGTCTAGGTGCAAGACTATCTCCCTGGCTGTTTAGTGAAATCAGTATAAGGAGTAACATATAAGTGATGTGAAAGGTGAAAAATTAGCAGTTTTCTCTCTTTACTTGAAGTGACTTTTTAATTATTTATTTACTCTCCGTAGCTTTTTTAAAAATGCATAGTAATGTATAATCCACTATAAAGTTGATGAGAGCGTGAAAAAAGCAAGAGAGGACAGAAGCATCCCTCATCAGCTTGACTGTAGAGGCAGCTCCATTTACCTGTACAACGGCTAGAATTGGGTTAGGCTGGAGAAAGACTGTGACCTGTCATGAGACCAAAGCAGGAAGAAATTCTGACCAAAGATGCAAATTTTAACACGCAAATATATGAACGTGTCACCATGACTAGATGCTGAAGTGTGGGGTTTTCATGGTAAACCAATGGCCAAAAAGTAAAGTTCTCCTATGTGTTGGTCTGATTTGAGCAATGCAAGGTGTAAACTGGAAGTGATTTATGCCATCTGTTTAGGTTATGTGAGGAACACTTGTTTTCTTATTGCGGTGTGTGCTCATGTGAACCTTCTCTATCTGGTTTGCTTTCTAGGTGCTATCCCATTTTCTGCTGGCTCATTCTTTGTTTACATCAGTCTGGACAAAATCTGGCGAGAACCCATAATTCATTTCACTCCTCTTCAAAACTTTATAAATGGCTGTGTAGCAGCTGGTGTGGCACAGACCCTTTCTTTCCCGTTTGAGACTGTAAAGAGGAAGATGCAGGTACAGAGCGTCCTTGTTACTAGTACTTTGTTAGATGTGCTTGTTTCAGGAGGTTGGGGCAAGACTAGCCAGGTGATCGTGACTTCCACTCTGTTTCTCTTACCAGTGGACTACAGAGGCTTTGGGGTTTTTGATGTCTGAAAATTCACTGTTACAAATGTGCTGTTGTGTTTGTAATATGTGTACAAGTACTATAATGGGATATATATTTCATCTTGGACTCTGTGTCTTCAGCTTTATTTCTCCTTCTCTTCACAGCAAATCCATCAGATCCTCACAGTTGAGAACTGGCAAATGTTCTCTGACAAGCAGGTGTTCTGTCCCCTTGGTGGTAGGCTGGGTGAAAGAGATCTGTGTCATCTCCATGGTTTTGGTCTCTGCTGTTTATGCCTGATCTGCTTACCAGCAGTCACAGGAAACTTGCACAGCAGTTATTAATTCTGCAACGTCAAAACTATCCTCAGTCCTATTTCTGACTGCTCTGGTTAATGGGTAACTTTCCAGTTGCTGGTGCTGTCGCTTTGCTGGAGCATCAGTGCTGCTAGAGTTACTGTATCATTATATATAATTTTGATGCTTCTTTCTCCTGAGAGATTAGTAATAATGATTAAAAAAGAACACCCCACAGCTTCTGTCTTATTGACATGATTAATTTCATGTTGTCTTATTTTCATCAAAACTTCATCAGCAGTGAATGGCTGACTGCTCTCTGGCTGTGGCACATGAATTAGTTCTTTCGGCCCAGTTGATGGGGTTGCAGGTTTATGGGAACCTTTTGTGATCGCTTCCAAAAAAACAGTCATCGTTTGGTGTGGCAGCATTATAGATCTCCGCATCAAGTGACAGCCTAGTTGATAAGCCTGGAGCTAGCAAAAGGTCAGGGAAACTCTGAATTCCTCTCTCCTGCTCGCAGGGTTCCCCTCTGTAGACAGAGGTCAGACGCAGTGTGTGACACAGAAGCATAATTCATTGCCCGCTATTCAGATGGTAACACCGGACCTCAGCTGAAGAAGTGATGTCTTATATTAGACCAACTCATGTAGCCGAAGCGGGGAGAAGTCATGCTTTGGGCTGAGCTCTTTCATCAGGTGTCTCATAAACTGTCTTAGGTGAGGAATAAATTCTGAGCACGAAAACTTGAACCTTTTTCCCCGCTATATCAGTTGATCTTAAAAAAGCAATTACCTCTTGTTACAAGTCCTACTTTTCTTTATATCCTTAGGTGCACAGCAACACTGTTGCCCTAAAGAATAAAGAAAATAAATACATTTACTGTGATAGTTCCCTTTTAATTGCTTGATTTCAGTATATCAGTTATCGAACATTTGGTTTTCGTAGTCAGTTCAAAAGTAACCTTCAGCAGTAACTGATGGGATGTTATAAAGTCCTGCGTCCCCATTTGGCTGGCTGGGTAAGCAAAGATGTGCAACGAGCCCATTTTTCGTTTTCCTGCCACTAGGCTGTGCTGTTTCACCAATGGGACGCTTAAAACATCTGACTGGGGCTTCTAGAATTAGAAAGGAACTGGATTTATTGCCCACAAGTGTGGGAACTGGATTTACTGAAAAATTATTCTGGAAGGCAAAGAAGCTAAACGGAGAGGTGTTTTTCGCCATAGGTGCATTGGAACAATTTGCATAGTGATTTCCCAAGTATGGAGAGACATCCCCCGTTGAGTAACTCTTCCTGAAGACGTAGGAGAAAGCAAGGGTATTTCACAAGAAGTAGCTGTCTAGGTATAAAAAAACCATAACCCTTGGTTTGATATTGGAAATGAGGTAATTCACGGAGGTCTGTCCACGAATGAAACCTCTTGAAGATCTCACCCAAGCTGATACTGAGCGCTTACTGGAACTCATGTAAAGTGATCCAAGAAGTTTGTTTTTCACTGCTATCTTCTGGGTATGGCCCAGCCTTGCAGGGATCAGCCCTGCGCTGCGCTCACTCCCTGGCCTGTTTGACCTCCTGTTGAAGGCACTGCAGTTTGCCATGGGAACAGGTTCTGGGGAGGTGGTGGCTGAGGATGCCCTGAAAGTAGAATGCGATGTTCAGTTCACAGGGTGGTGGTCCGAAAAGAGAAAGGATAGCACCAGAATGGGTATCGTGCGAAGGGACCTAGAAAGAAAGAGAGTAAAGAAGGGAGGACAGAGCTTCAAGACTTCTCAATGTCCTGTAGAAAACACAGGAGTAGATACCATTGATCACAGTTTTTTTGTTTTTTTTCTTAGCCATCTTGCTCTGATGAGGCTCCCTTTAGTGATTCAGTTTTCTAGGTAATACAAAGAGAGGTCTACTGAAGCCTTTAGCTGCCCTCGGGCCCAGTGTGAGTGCACTGCAGTGCATGTGAGGAAACGCTGGCTTTGTTTAGGAGCTCTGGACATGAGTTTGGTGAGTGAAGAGGAACGCACAATGTTGTGGAAGTCAGTATAAATTCTCCTTCTTCTATCCCTTCCATCCCACGGATCTGACAGATGGAGGTAGTATATTGCCAAAGAATTTTCTTCCTGTGAACCTAGTGGTAATGAGGAACTAGGGAGTTGCAAGGCAGTCCCAGGAGCTTCAGAACCTGAGAAACTAGGTCATAAAGCAGTGTTCTCTGATCCCGGGATTGAGTACAGGCCTGAGACCAGAACATCCAGATCTTTGCCTGACATGCTGGGCAGCCTTGGACAAGTTCGGTCCGTCCATCTCCTCATCTAGACAATACTTGAATATATGTTTACTTGACAATATGTTTACACACACTGGGAATTAAATTCTGCTGAGAGAGGAGGGGTAAGGTGTTATTTCTAACCTCTGTCATAATCATTTTGTTCCATCCTTTCTCATTTTACATAGCTGAATCCTACACTTCTGATGTCAGCAGCTTCTGTCATTGACATCTGTGGGAGTAGGAATCTGTTAGTGAACAGTTTTTCCTCTCTGCTTTGGTGATGATTTATGATGTCAGATTTGTTCTGTAACCATGGCTTCTTCTCCCTCTGATATTAGTGTTATCTTTATCATGTTGACATTTTTTACAAAAATGCTATGTTTACTAAATATACTTGAATGGCTTTCTCTAAAATATGTTAATTAACATGAATGAATCTTACCAAATATGTGAGTCCTCTTTGTTGTGATTATCCTAATCTTATTCCTTTGTCTTCCTTTTTTCACTTTGCTCCTGATGGGCATGTTAGAGAATGGAGAGGTACTGTATGCATGTTTTGGCATGGGCATATGGCTTTTGTTGTGCATCTGTAGAAGGGGATTAGTGAAGGAGAGGGTTGTTCAAAGGGATGTTCTATGTTAAATGCTTTCCTAACTCATTCTCGTGCTATATCAGCTTCAGAACAAAAACTTACTGATCGTTATATCCTTTTAACTGCTTGTTATTCTTGGCTTTCCTTCCTCACTCACAATATTACGTTCTTTGTTCAACCCAATGTCTAAGCAGTATTCGAGTACTGCACTTTTACCTTGCAGGCTTATTAAAGTGCATACAAGAATGCTCTCTTTTTACCCTTTAGCAGGAAGGTATCTGCCTATAAAGGAGTCTGGATCTAAGGGAAGCACGGGTAATAGGCTTCTACTTTTCCACGTCGTCTTTTTGCCTAGGATGACCTTCCTAGGTCTGTCCTGGCATTTCAGCAAGGGAAGACGAATTTGGAGATGTTGTATGCCATACAGAAGTTTATAATTAGAATGACACTGAACCTAGGCTGCGTGCAGAACTGGAAATCCATAAACATACAAGCGGTCAGCGCAAACCCGACACTCAAGTTTGGCGTTTCCCCTTTTGCACGTGACTCTCGGTGGTAGGCTCAGATACTCCACAGCGGGGAAGGCTTCTTAGCCTTCGTTCCAAATTGACATGTGACTTTGGAAGTTTTGTGAGGCAAAATATACAAAAATGACTCTCAGATTTCACAGACGCTTAGTCTACTGTACAGATAGTCCTCACCTCCTTACATGAACAAACTGTAGCTATGTTTGCCGAAGTTCACTCCTGTGCTCCTATTTTGCTGGTATAATTTATTTGAATGGATGTAACTAAAACTAGCTGAAACTCTTCCTTGCCAGTAAATGCTGCTCAGGGATAGCTTTACCATCAAACCCTTGTAATCTAGAATAAGCGTGCTTTTGCTTACTGCAGGATTCAGCATGTTTTTGGTGTTGACTGCACAGCATCCTTATGTTGTGAAGACATCTCTCAGGGGAATACATTGTTCAGTGGTATGTGATCTTTCTGTTTTAAAATCCAGGCTGTGTATTCCCTCTCCTGCCGTGAACAAATGGGCTCTGTGTTCTTTGTTAGCGTGGACTGTTGTCATGCATTACCCAAGAAGTGGTGGTTTTTCAGTGACAAACTGAATCAGGCTGAGGCTGCCTATCAGTCTGTAATGTCTTTTTTTTTCTTTTGTGCTTTGAGACACAAGATGCTCTGCAAGGGTGAAATTTGTTGTAAATGATGTAAAGGTTAGGTGTTCTCAGTAACCTCGAGAAAACGGAGCAGTCATTCCCTCTGTGAGGTAGCCTGTTGAAGGTTAACACGTTCTTGTGCTCTATTGGCACATTTCTAGTCTGAAGTCTGTTAAAGGTGTTATTTAAGTCTCTATCTAAAAGCAGTCTCCTCGCTATGGTTTTTGCATGGTGAAAGTCAGTCTAGCAAGAGCACAGCGGCTGGGTTATGAACAAAGCTCTGGAAAAGAAAATTATATATGTTCATTAGAAAAGCGCCTTCTCCCTGCTGAAATGAGGCGACTGCTCCAGCGTTGCTTCAGCGTGAGCAACTCGCAGAGAGTGCTGCATCCCTGGAAACGGTCGCTGGTGCTGGCGTGGCAGCCTCTGAGAGCTCCCGTGCTGTGGCGTCCCTGCTGTTTGTGAGATTTGTGTTCTTGTCAGCTGGGAATATGAAAGTTATTAGAGTCATGACCCCGTTTAAAAATAAGAAATCCTTTTTGGGTCATGTGGTTCACACGCCATCTCAAAAACATACGTGCTCTGAGACTGTGCAG